TTGGATTCGACTGGCTTTCGAGCAAGGGAGACCTTTACCTTTACCTAATCAGAAATGAGGTGGGAAGGGGTCCGATCTGGCTCTGCAAGGCAGGCATGAGCTGAAAACGCCAAACTAATGTGGTTTCCTCCCTCCCTCCTTCCCCTTCGCAGGATATTAACTTGAAGATGCCCAGGAACAACCAGCTTCTGCACTTTGCCTTCCGGGATGACAAGCAGTGGAAATTGCAGCAGGTACGGTGACAGTGCCGTCCCCCCCCCCCCAAATTCTCTGTACCAATCCTTTCAAAGGTAAGGGCAGGACCAAGTCACTTCTTGGTTGTGACAACCCAAAAGTCCTTTTGTGGCGGAGCAGAAGAAAATGCGCAATCCACACGAGATCCTGAGTAGGCGGGTGTGGAGGCTACGCGATCGAGGGCGCTCCAGGTTATCTTACAAAGAAATTACGTGGGCCTCTTTGTGGCAGAGTTGCCGACGACTTCCTCGCTCAGGAATCCCCAACGTGGGCACCGTGGCACCCGCCCACACCTTTCTTGGTGCCCACCAAGTGGTTTTAGGAAGAGGGCGGGGCCAGATGGCCATCTTGCCCAGCAGAGCTTCTGATTGGCTACGCTGATGAACATAACATTGTTTCAGTTAAAGTCTGAATCATTTTCTTAGCAAAAGGCTGGGCTTGTTCTTTCAGGAAACCAATGCTTGTTCGTAATCACAGTCGCGCTGATCTGTTGTAACAAAAAACGAACGAGATGTCTCGCGGCACGTTAAAGACTAGCAAGCTTTCACTGGCACACCTGACTAAGTGAGGAACCACTACAGGCATGTAAAGAAAGCGAGCTCTCACCCACGAGGGAGCTTACACTAGGATGGAAACCCGTTAGGCAGGGGCATAGCCAGAAAATTTTGGGTGGTGGGGCACTGGGAAATCTGAGGGGGCAGGGAGCAGGGAATAGAGAGAGAGATCACATTGGCAGGCTGGCAAAGAAGAGAAACTCCGTCTAGAGAAGAAATCATCAACAAAATCTCGGAGACAGCAGAAATGGATAAATTGACTTGATTGTTGAAAACCCAATCAGAAAGTACATTTGAAAATACATGGTCAAGATTTTATATTTGGTTTGAGAGCTATACTAAATTAAGCAACACGGTCCATTAATTTCCCCCCCCCGGTAAAAGGTAAAGGTTCCCTTGCTCGAAAGCCAGTCGAATCCGACTCTTGGGTTACGGTGCTCATCTCCGTTTCAAAGCCGAAGAGCCAGCGCTGTCCGAAGATGTTTCCGTGGTCATGTGGCCGGCATGACTCAACACCAAGGCGCACGGAACGCTGTTACCTTCCCACCGAAGTGGTACCTATTTATCTACTTGCAATTTCTTGCTTTCGAACTGCTAGGTTGGCAGGAGCTGGATCTAGAGACGGGAGCTCACTCCGTCATGTGGCATACTTGGGTCTCGAACTGCTGACCCTTCCACAACCTGCAGTTCAGCGTCTTAATGACTTGAGCCACCGCAGCTCCATATATATTATATATAATATAACTCTACATTATCTGCAAAACAGACTTTAAACCTATGAGACGGTTTATATAAAGGTACTACAAATTCGGCATAAGCGTGTTAAATATTCGGAGCTAAAATTGCCCCCCCCCCGTGTGTGTTTGTATGTTTATGTACGTGTATTTCTGTTGCATGTGTTCAAAATAAAAATATTATTATTATTAGAAGAAGGGTCTTTCCTTTCCTGCCAGGCATACTCGCTTGCCTCGGCCACTACAGGAGAAGGAGAGCCAATTGGCCGGCGTGATTAACACTCGGCAAGTATGAGCTCCCTGCATGACTGCAGTGAGGCCTGCTTGCCTCGTCTGCTCTCTCACTCTGTCTGGGAGAGGGAGAGCCAGTGGGCCGGTGTGATTAATACTCGGGGAATATGCGCTCTGTGCTACAGTAGCTACAGAGCATTAATTGCACCGGCCGGCCAGCTCTTCTTCTCCTGTAGCGGTTGAGGCAAATGAGTGTGGCTGGCAGGTAAGGGCAGGGGTTGTGGGGCGTGGGCCATGAGTGAAGGGGGCACCGCCCCTAAATGCCCCTCTCTGGCTACAGGCCTGCTGTTAGGTTTTAAGGTGCTGCGTGAATGCATCCTGGGTCGATTAAATTCAGTTGTGCGCTCTGGATTTTTGGGATTTCGAGTTCAGCACACCGGACCTGCTTTCGGGTCTGACTCCCGGCGCCGCCGTTCTGACCGGTCCACCCTTTGTCCTTCTCCAGATCCAGGATGCGAGGAATCACGTCAACCAAGCCATCTACCTGCTGACCAACAGAGGTGCCAATTACCAGTTCAAGACCGGGTGCGAGGTCCTCAAGGTGAGCCCGCTTGTCCGGCTCGGCCGTAGCCCCTTTAGCCGGGCACACCCGGCCCCCTGTCTAGAAGCGTGGCAGGATAACAATAAAATAAAAGCCATTTGATTTTGCCCTTTGAATGACACCTTACAATCGGGGCCGTCGGCCACATCTCCTGGTCAGCCCAAATAAAATTGCATGTGTGACTCTGTCTCTCTCTCTCTCTCTCTCTCTCCCTGCCAGCTGATGGACGCAGTGATGTTGCAGTTAACGAGAGCTCGGAACCGGCTCACCACTCCGGCTACTCTGACCCTCCCCGAAATCGCCTCCGGCGGCCTCACGGTACCTGAGCCATGTCTTTGTCGACCCTTTGGAGAGAGATAGGCACATCTCCGTCCCAGACTCTCTGATTCTGTGCCAGGGGGACTCCGAGTTACTCCGGGAGCAGTCCCAGTTTTCTGTATTTGCTCACTGCTGTAAAATTCAAATATCGGATAGAACCAGGGCTCCAAAAAGCAAGAAGTATGTCTCGGGCAGGAAGAGGGGTGAGTGGAAGAGTAGCTCTGGCACTCCACCCTCCTCCACTGACATCGTCTAAGCTGTGGAGTATCCCGCACAAAGCTCTTTGTGTCGTATGGGTTTGCAGGATGTATTTACTACACATTGTCAGACTTATCGTAGAATCCTAGAATCAGAGTTGGAAGGGGCCATACATATGCGCCCCCCCCCCCGAGGTTGTGATCTCCCACCTACTGATAACCGGCCATACCCAGTGACATCAGTGGGCCAGATTCTCCCTACGGCAAGCACGACTACCGATTGTATATGTTTTAATGTGTTTTAAATTTTTATTGTATCTATTAAAATGTTGTAACCCGCCCCGAGCCCGTTTGCTGGATGGGCGGGATATAAATGCGAATTTTTTTAAAAAAATAATAAATAAATAAATACAGGGCCATCTAGTCCAGCCCCCCCCCCCCCCCCCCCACGGCGGGTACCACTCACACACACACACACACACACACACACAAAAATGGTTAATAAAATAATGTTAAAATTTAAAGCATCTTCATCAATATTCAAATGGGGGTCACAGCGAATAACGACGACAGCAAAGAAATTCCCAGGTTGTGGGAGGTTCCTGGCTGTAGCAGGTAC